TAAATGGTATTTTGTATTTGTAAAGAAGTATATTTTTATGAGTAAAGAAAAATTTGAGCCCACTATCTTTCATATTATATACATATCTATATTTTACATAGTACGTATTCTAAGAATAGTACTAAAGAGGAGTTGTTACATTTGCATGGTGAGTTAGATGAGAAAATATTCATGAGTCAACCTGTAAGTTTTAAGGATAAAAAACTGTCTGATTATGTATGCTTACTGAATAAATCTCTGTATGGACTTAAACAGTCCCCTAGACAGTGGTGCAAGAGATTTGATGCATTCATAACAGGAAATGGATTCACTAGAAGCATGTATGATAACTGTTTCTATTTTGCCTGTATGAATAATATTCCAATCTACCTTTTGCTATATGTAGATGACATGTTAAAAATTAGCAAGTCCATGTCTCAAATTAATGCATTAAAGGCCAAATTGAATACTGAATTTGATATGAAGGACTTAGGTAAGGCAAAGAAAATACTAGGAATGATGATTGATAGAGATAGAAGTGCACATACTCTTAAACTGCATCAATCCTCATACTTACAAAAACTAGTCTTAAAATTTGGCCTGAATGAATCCAAAGCAGTGACAATGCCCTTAGCAAACCACTTCATACTTAGTAAGTCACANAAAAAAAAAAAAAAAAACAAATCAATCTATGTTTGTTAGAAACTCAAACAAAATCAAACAATCTAATTGGGTTGGTTCAGTTCGGGTTAATGGGTTTAAGTTTATATAAAATTACTTTTTTCTTGGTCAAGTCTATATTACATAGCAATTTAGAATTCATTTTTCACTACAATTAAATTTTCAAATTAAAAGTTCATCTAGTTTTGGTAAAGAATCCTAATAATATAATTATTGACTTCAACAATTACATAATAAGCACATATATTCGTGGTAAATTTATTTAAAATGTTACTATCATATTATTTATTCTAGTGATTAATTAGTCTTTATGTTAATTATCTTTTAAAGTTATATTTATCCCAAGTATTTCGAGAATTTTATCGTATTAGAATTGTTCAAGATTTTTCATTTCGTATTTAATTACTTAAATAGAGGTTTCAGTAATTGCCATTGACATAATTTATTCTAAAATAGGATGATGATTTTCTCTTTTGTTATTTTCTACCCTATTTCTCCTTATTCTCTTGTTCTTCTATTCGTTATCAAGTGATATCGGAGTAATTATAATGTCTTTGTTATTTCTATTCAAGCTTCACCAAAAAACAAAAAAAAAAACTAAGGGTCTGTTTAGTATATATATATATATAACATTTTTTTTTTTTTATGCATCCTGTGTCACAGAACTAATCATGTATTGCAGTTGAAGGCTACATTAGTTATATTTTCAATAATTGTGAGAGTCAACCAGGAAACTATGCATTTTGGTCAAAAGAAGAAAGTGTCTGATATCTCTTGCATGTAATGCTAGACAATATGCTAGAGCTCATTGGCATGAAGGTGCTGCCCTGTTTCAAAATTTTGAGTTTTTCTCAGGTTCAAAGTTTCAAAACATATATTTATTAATAAAGGACCAAAGTTTATGTATATTATCTACGAACATTTTCTACTCAGGTGATGTGAAACTTGGTTCCATGGAATTGAACTCTGAACTGCCTCTTTCTGTGAAACCACGTTTTTTTAATCCTAATATATATTACACATTCTTTGTGATTTTATCTTTAAGGAAGGGGATTTCTGTTAGTTTTTAAAAGTTTTATTGGGAATGAGATTGCAAGAAAAGGAAGCTGCTGAGTTTGCATGTAACAAGGGGCAAAAATCTGGAGGCTTTTGTAAGAAAAAGATGATGTGGCAGCGTTATATAGAATTAAGAGAATTTGGGGGCAGTTGTAAAAAAATAAAAAAATAAATTTGTTTTATATAAATTTGGGCTGCTCGCCCAAATGAAGAAGAAGAAAGTTGAGAGAGAAAAACCGAGAAGAAGAGAGGGGGAAGAGAAAGGGAGAAGAAGAAGAGAGGAGAGAAAGAAGAGAAGGAAGAAGAAGAAAAGAAAAAGGAAAAGAGAAGAGAAGAGAAGAAAGAACGAGTTCGGCCAAGAGATAGAGTGAGAATGAAAGTGAAGCAAAAATGGAGGATGAGAAATGTTGGAACAGGTCACTCTATTTTGGTTTCGCGTGTGGAGGAAGAAAGTGCTTGAGGTTGCTTCCAATTTTCGGATTGAACTAAAATGGTGAGTGGATTTAAACTGTTTTCCTTAAAACTTAAGCTTATGCCCTTGCATGTTGATTTCGTTTTACTACCGTCCATTTGTTTTCGCAAAAATCCTTACAAGCATGATGTTTGTGAGTGGAATAGTAGAACTTTGCATAAAACCATGTTTTTAGTGAAATGATTTCTATGTTTGTGCGTAAATGCCTTAACTTCGAATTTATTTCAGCTTTGATATGGTTATATTCGTCTTCCGTAAACTATCTTTGGCATGCATGTGAATGATGTTATATATCATGAAATTTGGAAGTAAGTCTGGACATGCATGTATAAATAATTATGCCTATACCAAATGTTGTTGAATGGAAAGCAGAATTTTGTGTTTCCGCCTGTTTGATTTGGTTGATGATTGAGAATTCCAGCTAATTTTGGTAAGGCTGGTTTGTTTGGAAATTAATTGGTGGTAGTAATGGTTGGAATGAAGGGTATGGAAATTATGGATTTTATATATTGATTAATTTTGACAAGCATATGTGCATTTTTATGCATATTCACAATGTTTGTGATGGAAAAGAAATTATAGGAAGTAGTATGTTGGATATGGTGGCTGAATTTTGTTGTTGACTGAAATTGGAGATTTAATGCAATAGTGTTATATGGGTAGAGCATATATGTTGATCCTAAAGAACCAAGAGTTATTAAAGTATGTTTTTGGTTACAATGGTCATCCCTTCTGAATCAGAAATTTTTTCAGTAGAGCCTAGCTGCTGAGATTATTGTCTTCACAAAAAAAAGAAAACTACAACTCTTTAGGTTTCTCATATTTATACTAAATCATGTTCCAACTTCGATAATTAGGCGAATATATATACACCCTCCTTTATGAAATCTTTCTTCACACTGAAATAAATCATGGATTTTTCACCTTAAAAACCGCGTTTTGTTTTTCAATAATGGTTCCTTCAACGTTAACTCTACATTTTGGTCACACGAGCAAAACCCCAGTTTTATCTACCAGGGTTCACCTCTTAGGTGATTTGAGTGTGAAAGTGGTGTTCCCTTTTCAAAGTTCATCCACTCTTTTCCTCTTTCGAAAACTGGTGCTTTTAGAAGAGACATTCAAGAATCTGGTTTCACTTAACAAATTAATGCATCCCTTTGTGGACCATGCTGAAATGGAACAGGTATATGTTACCATCACTTCTTTGTTCTTTCATCTCTCTTGAAAGCAATATCGCTCACTTCCTGCTACTTATCTCACCAATATTTTTCTCACATTTTATATCTTACACTTACTCCTCATCATCTCCTCCAGTTCCTATAGATTGCAGATTTTGTTTCATATTAGATCTTAAAGTCAGATGAACTCAGAGTATTTTTGTATATCAAGGAGGCAACTGTGTTAGTTGGAAAGCTCAGTTTCAACCTCTGGTTGCATTATCCACTACTGAAGCAGAGTACGTAGCAGTTTCAGATGCATTCAAAGAAGCAACATGGTTACAAGGGATCCTGAAAGAAGCTGATCTGTTGAATGGCACAGCAACAGTCTACTCTGATAGTCAAAGTGCCATCCATTTGAGCAAGAATCCAGTGTATCACGAACGAACAAAACATGTGGATGTAAGGCATCACTTCGTCAGAGACCTAATTGCAAAAGGAGAGATAAATCTGTTGAAGGTACCCACTGAAGATAATCCAGCAGACATGGGAACAAAAGTGGTGACCACAGCCAAGTTCAAGCACTGCTTGAGCTTGCTTCACATCAAATAAACACTTTCCTTCAGAGCTGAGAAGAAATATGGGATAGCTTACTGCACTAAAAAGAAGTCCAATAAATGAAAGGAATAAAGTTGGCTTCAAGGTGGAGACTGAAAATAATGTGAAGCCAAAAACGGGGCCGTTTCACTTAAGTCCATTGGAAGCCAAAACGGGGTCGTTTCATTTAAGGCCATTACCAAAACTTAGCCATCAGATCAAGACAGATCCAAGGGCTGAGGATTACAAACGCAAACATATATAAAGAAGAGCAACAGTGATAAAAAAAAAAAATGCGTTTTTGTTTCTTTATCGGGTATTAGGGTTTGCAAAAGAGGGAAAAACTAGGGTTGGTTTTTGCTGAATCTTTCTGGGTGTAATCTGGGTTGATTGTGAGAAAGGGTTGCGTTTCCTTCTAGAGGCTGGTATTTGTCCTCTGATTTCTTGCAGATTATTGAGAAATTCTTGAATGATTAGGCCTTGGTTGGGTGTTAGTCTGTTTTGGCAGATTTGTATTATTGTCCTTCTTGTAATCGTTGAATATCTTCTTAGTGCTATGAGCATCCGTATTTCGGAGCTCAACATGGACGTAGTCTATCCAAGATTGGATAGACGAACCACGGTAAAATCGTGCCTCGTGTTGTGTGTGTGATTCTTTGATCTTTAATCTTGTGTGTGGTTATTTGTGTTGCGAATTTGCTTATCAGGCTTGGGTTATAACAAGGACTTTAACTCCCTCTTTTGGTGACTTGTAAATCAAAAGGAGGAAACCTATTTTGACTATAACCCCACTGCAATTATTAATGTTAAGCTTTGGGGATCTCTCCAATCTGAATTTATATCTTCAAGGGAAGTGTTATATGTCATAATTGTCATTAATCCTCTAAATTATTGGGCGCATAAGCTTTTTGTTTTGGGTTCTTATCTCTTATGTGAATTTATATCTCAAAAGAAATTCGTTGTCATTAACATCTTAATTATTCAATCACTATCTCAACACTCCCATAGTCACTGTTGACTGTCATTATGTACAATACTTAACCTCTGCACCCATTTTAAGATAGCAACTCAAATAATCCATGGCTAGCAAAGAAAGAATATTTCCCGTCCTTCTAAGCTTTTCATTGTTTATACTCTTTCTGAGGCCGTCTTATTCGAAGACGATCAATAAATTACAACAAGGCCAACAGCTCAAAGATGGGGATGAACTGGTTTCAGCTTCTGGGAAATTCAGGTTGGGATTCTTTAGCCCTCTCATGTCAACAAATCGTTACATAGGAATATGGCACTTTTCGCCAACAGGGAAGGATGATTTTTACTACCACAAAGCTGATGGTTACTACCAAAATAGCAAACCTGTTTGGGTTGCCAACCGGAGCACCCCAATTTCGGATAAATCTGGGAAACTTGTAGTAGATAGTACTGATGGCAATTTGAAATTTTCAAGCAATAGCCGAAATCCTATTGCAATAAGTACGGTTCAAGGAGTGAATAATACAAGTGCTATTCTACTGGAATCTGGCAATTTGATCCTCCATGAAAGGAATTCAGATGGGTCTATAAGGCGAGTCCTCTGGCAAAGCTTTGATTATCCGACTGATACACTTCTTCCAGGGATGAAACTAGGGTTCAACTTACAAACAAGGAATGAATGGTTTCTCCAATCATGGACCGATATTGACTCTCCTGCTCCCGGGCCATTTACTCTTCGAATGGACCCGAATGTCACAAACCGTTTGATCAGCTGCAGGCGAAGCGAAGAAGTTTACTGGACTAGTGAGCCCTGGCTAAATAATCACTTCAACTTCTCACGTTCATGGGCACTTAACAATTACTACAACTTCAGCTACACTTCAAATGAACAAGAAAACTTCTTCATTCATTCAGCAAGTGGAGATGCATTGCAAATCTTGAGAATCAACGCAGATGGTGGACTTACAAACGGCGGAGGGTTGTTTGTTTCTTGTACTAAATATGGAGGATGTTGGAAAGAGAAGCAGCAGGAAGAGATTTGTTGGACCGGGAATCGTTCTATTGAGAATTGGCATTTCAGACGGGGCTACATGTTGGGAGATGGATTCAATTTCAGTAAAAACATGAACTTTTTAGATTGTCAAGACAAATGCATCAAGAATTGTTCTTGTGCGGCCTTTGCTCCGGCCGCACGTAACTTCACTGGCTGTCAGATTTGGAGCAGAGGAACAAAGTTTAGACACTATTTGTCACACAATTCACGGTTCATATCCATGCTTGACTTTCACGATCATGAAGGTTAGCCTACTAAAATATTGAAGTTTTAAGTTTAAATAAGCTCCTTAGATGGTTAAATCCATACTTTAACACGAATATTTATTATTGCAGGAACAGCGAAGAAGATGAAGAAGCCACCATGGTTGATTATTGAAATATTAGGATCTCTAGCCGCTTTGCTGCTAATCATTTTGGGTGCTTTGAGCTATAAAGTGCGGAGAAAGGACAAGGGAATAGGTATGCAAGATTGATGTTATAAAAGTCTACAAAAACTCCTGAAAAGAGTTCATTGCAGAAACAGAACACTCTGCATTCAGAGTGATTGGTGGTGATAAAGATGATGAGAAATTGAATTTTGTTTTTCATTTTCCTAATTTGCAGAAGAGAGGCGGAGGATGTCTTTCATTTTTGCTTTAGGAGTAGCCTTAGTGCTACCTTTCCTGTGCTACTTGTGCTATTTGATGGCCAAAAAACTCAAGACAAAAGGTAATCAGTTTCAGTTTAGAACAAATGCCATAAATTTATTTATGTTCGAGAAATAACTGTAATCTGAGTTATACATTCCACGGATTTTGATTAGTGCAAAGCGTAAATAACAGAAAGAAACTGTTACAAGAGCTTGCAAGTACTCTATCACATGCCCCAAATTTTGGCAGACGAAAACGAAAAAGGAAGAAGGGCATAGGCCATGACTTGAAGATATTTGATTTTCAGACCATTGAAGTTGCTACAAACAATTTCTCAACTGAAAATAAGGTCGGAGAGGGTGGTTTTGGCCCGGTTTATAAGGTAAAATTTTGAGACTTACACATAAATTAAATGAAGTAATTACTAATTGTTGCAGAGATATGGTTTCAGGGAAAATTAGTGGATGGTCAAGAAATAGCAGTAAAGAGACTCTCAAGAGTATCAGCACAAGGAATAAAAGAGTTCAAGAATGAAGTTAAACTCATTGCAAAGCTCCAGCACACTAATCTTGTGAAGCTTTTAGGATGTTCTCTTTATGAAGAAGAAAGAATTTTAGTTTATGAGCACATGTCTAACAAAAGCTTGGACTTCTTTATTTTTGGTAAGTTTTCTATAACAATATTTAAGGATTTTCGCAGCAATAATTTTAACAGAGATAAGTATTATTCATCATTCATTCTTGTTTTATTACACTTTGAGACAGATTCTGATAGAACAAAGCTATTAAATTGGAAGAAACGTTTCAGCATAATCGAAGGGATCGCTCAAGGACTTCTTTATCTTCATAAATATTCGAGATTACAAGTAATTCATAGAGACTTAAAAGCCAATAACATTTTACTTGATAACGAAATGAATCCAAAAATATCTGATTTTGGGATGGCTAGAATTTTCAAGGTGAATGAACCAGAATCAAACACAAACAAAATTGTGGGAACACAGTAAGTATATATATGTTACATCTACAGCCAAATACAAAGTATCTTTTATAATTTGTTTCACTTGATGATTCATAAACATTTTCTTTCCTTCAAACACTAAAAAAAGGTTGTTTAATGATTCTTTAGCGGCTATATGTCTTCGGAGTATGTCATGTATGGTACTGTCTCAACAAAAAATGATGTATACAGCTTCGGAGTATTACTTCTGGAAATTGTTTGCAGTAAGAAGAACAATGGTATATATCATCCGGAGCGCCCACTCAACCTTGTAGGATATGTAAGTGTTCAATCCATTTTAAGTCATTCTCTTCCAGGCATCTGCCTTACGTATTTTTACAAAATCCTCATAAGAACTCTCTACAAAGAGGATAAGTACAATAATTGTCTAACCCTGAAAATTTTTGGTGCTGAAACTCGCCACTTTCAGGCCTGGCAGCTGTGGAATGATGGTAAAGCTTTAGAGCTAATCGACTCGGAAATACTTGATGGACCGAGCTCTCCTGGTGAAGTCTTGAGATGCATTCATGTGGGTCTTTTGTGTGCGCAAGACCAAGCAGCAGATAGACCCAAAATGAGCAAAGTTGTTTCCATGCTTACACCTGCAGCCAGGCCCTTTCCAGCCCCAAAACAACCAGCATTTTTTATCAATGTTAGGTCTGCTGAGCCTGAAGCTTCTCAAAATAAGTCAAAAACTTGTTCCGTAAATGAGGTCACAATTTCAATCATGGAACCAAGATAATTAAATATAGTTGTTTTATAATGAACAAGCACATCCTTGTATAAATACAATAAGAGACATGTATGCATATAGGTAATGATTTGTGGGTGTTTTGTCAGAATTTGTATTCCTACTCAAAATTAGCAGATCCCTCACAATGATGTAAATCTAATCAGTAAACTTGTTTATCTCTAAATTGATGCGAACAGATCTCTTAAAGAAAATATAGATACAAGATTCATAAAACCCTCAAAACATCGCCTCCATGTAATGAATAGCATAGAACAATAATCCTAATTTTAACCTCACAAATGTAAAAAAAAAAAAAAAAAAAAAAAAATTCACTCGATTTTTGCTAGAAGACTTGAGGCTTAAATGCAGTGATTAGAAATCCAGCCCGACTCAGCCGATTGAACCGGTTCAACTTGGGTCAGGTTACAAATTTTTCTATTCATTCAAAACCCTAGAAATTAGGACATTAATCTATAAACAATTGAAGGTTAAAATGTTAAGGCTTTTGAAAAGGAATGGTTGGTTAGTGAAATAGTGGCTACAACATCGATTTCCATGAGTTAATCGACCGAAAATCACAAAATAATGTCGCCAAAAAAAGCTCGTTGTCGCCGGCAATTGGAGAGGCAAACAAGGGAGAGGTGATATGGGTTTTGGTCAAGAGGCTGAGGGGAGTGTTGTCGTCACCGAAAACATGCCCTATTTGTCAATGCCAACGATGGTGTTTGGGGTGTTTTTGCAAGATTTCAAACCTATAGGGACTTAAATGTAATTTTTAGGGTTATTTTTGTTAGATTTCAAACCATTGAACACTAGTTTGACTTGCCAGTCAAACCGGTTAAACCACTCAATTTGGGACCCGATGGCCTGGCCGAGTCTGACACGACCCGTTCCGAATTTTCTCATCCAGTAGGATCCGGGCGCTCCCACAAGACTCGCATACCCGAAACGTGCTATGTAGAAAAATTGTGAAACCTATTAAAAGACTTACTTTTCCTGAATAACATCATCATATTTCCATTTCCAACATCTCAAAAAAGAAAACATACGCCATCTTTCGTTCTACAAAAGAAAAGATTTAGGGAAACTTGTGGTATCAAGTTTTCCACTTATACAACACATTCTGAAACATAAACAAAAGGAAATACATGATGGGAAACATAAGTTTTTGAAACGGAAGTCCAAAATACATATGACATAAATATAAAACTCACATAAAAAGATGTCGACGCGTGGCACAATCCTGAGCAAAGACTCACTGCTCGGCACGATCTTCGGGAGGTCCTAGTAAGAGGGGGGAGGGGGGGGGGGGGGGGGTGCTGTGGCTGGGGGCCGGGGGAGGAGAGATTTAAAAAAAAAAGGGTGAACTGAAATACTCAGTGAGTAGGGAAAAATGGGAGGTTTATAAAAGTTCTTAAAAAATGGAATAATAATAACATACAACAATTCTTAAGCAAATCCTGATGACAATATAATTATATGAATATGCAATAGAAGCAACCACCCCATTCACGTATGCAATATGTGATTTATTTCTAACCATCATGCACTCAGTAAACTATACTCTGACTTACTTCCTTTAATTGTATCGGATCCTGAATAAAATCTCAACATTTTGTATTAGAAACGCTCACCACAACTAGTACCCTGGGGAAAATCTGTCATACCTGGTGGGCATCCCACACGCAGGTAGAGCGAGTAACATAACTGTCATACCCGGCAAGATCTATCATCGCGCGGGCAGAGCCTCTGAAACTGTCATACTTGGCGGACCACTCAACGCCTAGGCAGAACACTGATAACTGTCATACGTATGAGCAGAGCCAAAAATCTGTATCACTGGGGGATAGGTACTTCGTAGGGTGGTTGGTACTTCGTAGGGTGGTTTTAGCACCACAAGTATCTCGTGCATAATCTCAAGTAACATATAGGTCAAGAACATATTACATATGTGCTTATAAACCATGCATATATGACATAATATTCCAAAAATCACATATAGGGATGAATCTGCAATCTTTTAAACATGTTTTAGAACTGATATTTTAACGCAGACTCAAATTACCACAACATCATATCACCATGCATTAATCCGACACCACCCGTGGACGATCATTCCTTTTTAATCTGGTCAATAACCAATATTAAGACATTTCTACAATAACACATCAAAAACATCAAAGATGAAGAAGTGATTTTAAATAAGAAGCCCAAAGGAAAAGTATAAGGAAATTCATGAAGACCAAGTCCAACAAATTGAACAAGTAAGACAACTCAACACTTACTACGGACTTGGCCCATTTCTAACAATCTAATGCAAACTCCATTCACTCTTCAATGACCCATCCATTCCAAACCCAAGCAGCAGTCCACTAAAAAAAAGACCAAAACCCACCCTTCTCTCTACAGGTCTCTTTTTTTTTCCAACTCAAAATTTACATGTCAAAAAGCTTTATTTTCATGAGAGTTATATAAATGCCTTTGCATGACACACAAAATAAAAATTCATTCACTTTAAATAGATCACATAAAATATTTACACAAAAACTTGTCCAGCCGTGACATGCAAAGGTAAGTTAAACAAGTTTTTCACTCCCATAACATAACTTCCAGAATTCAACCAAAACCATGCAGCAGTATAAGCCAGCAACCTCCGTAAAACAGCAAAATATTTAGCAAACAATACATCCTAACACACCAGCTGAACCCACATAAAACAACATGTCACAAACACATGCATAAATAGAAATTTATGCAAAACCCATAAACAATAATCAGATCTCGACATGCAAAGGTATAAGTATAAGTTTTTTTTTGGAAAACAATTTCGATCCACTCACAATTCTAACTCGGCCGAAGCTCCCTGCACTCTCCTCCACTCTTCTCTCTCAATCTACCATTTTCAGCTGAAACCCATTCTCATCTCTTCTCCTTTTTCTTCTTTTCTTCTTCTTTCTATCTATCCTCTCTTCTATCTTTTCTCTCTTATCTTTCTCTCTTTCTCATTTCTTTTCTTTCTTCTCTCCTTTCTCTCCTCTCTTCTTCTCCTTCTCTCTTCTTCTCTGTTTTTTTTTCTTCCTCTGCTCTCGTTTTCTTCTTCTTCATTTGGGCGAACTGCCCAGTTTTTTTTTTTTCTTTAAAACTAAGAAAATTTTCTGAGATTATATCTGCCCCCTAAAATTCTCTAAATTTCAGTCTAACCCCGCCACCTAAGCTTCTTCTAGCAAAATGTCCAGGTTTTTCCCTCCTGAAATATGCAAACCCGCCAGAATTTATTTCTTTGTTTTCACCCCTTAACGCAAGCTTTAAAAACTGACAGAAATGCCCTTTCTTACAACAATACTATAAAATCAAATAGAAAGGGAATTAAATAACTAAATAAAATTCATGCTATTACTAAATTATAAATGGGGTTTTACAGAGTCACTTCACAAGTTAGGCTTCTAATCACTAGGGGTGTTCGGTTCTAAGTACCCTACACTTTTTGAAGGAACTGGAACCGGAACCGAAACCGACGGTTCCTTGAAATTTGGAACCAAAACCGGAACCGACGGTTCCAGTTTCTAGGTACCCAGAACCAGAACCTGTAACAACGGTTCCGGTTCTGGTTTCGAGTACCCTATAAAATTACAAGGACCCCCCAAAAGTTTTTTAAATGGTAAAAAAACTCTTAAAAACTTACAAATACCCCCCCACCTAGCACTTGTTAACAAAAATAAAATTACAAATTATAAATTCAAAATTACAAACTCCATTACTTTGTAAAGGTAGATTCTCAAAAGTTAAACCAACTTACTTTAAATGTTATGAAATATAAATATAAATGTATTCACATTACTTTTTCTACAAAAGTTTTTATTAACCCCCATAATATTTAATTTTATTTTATATTAGTTTCAGTTCCTGGTTCCTGGTTCCGATTTCGGTTCCTAACTATAGGAACCGGAACCGGAACCAGAACCGCACAGTAACTGTTCCAAAAATTTAGAACCGGAACCTACCCATAGATATTGGTTCTGGGTAGGAACCGGAACTAAACCCAGGGTACCCATCGGTTCTGATTCCAACCGGTTCTTTTGAACACCCCTACTAATCACTACTTAAATGAGTTGATATTGTTGGTATGGTTGCTTTACTTATAAGCTTTTTGCAATTGTCCCACAAAACATAAGATGGGATATAACAGCAACCATTTTATGTTTTCACATAATTATAATCATAATGTTGGAGTATTTGACCACTTCATTAATAAGGGACCACGCAAACGCATTCCCCCATTTTTCAAACTTGGAAATAGAAAAGAGAGAAAGAAATAGCCGAATAGGCCATCATAGTTCTAATTTATAAATTTGCCAAACTACAACGAAGATTGGGAATGAGTTTCTCCAGTCATTGATTGGTGAGCCAACTAGGGATGGGCGCGGGCTGGGTTGAGGCCAGGGACCCCAGGGACCCCATTCCCCGTCCCTGTCCTCAATCTCCACTCCCATGACCGTCCCGACTCATCCCTGAGGTCGGGGACAACTCTCATGACCATCCCCGGCCTGTGGGGATGGAGTCACTCCCGTCCCCATCCCCGTCCCACACGCAGCCCCAATGAACAAGGCTCTGCAAGGAAATTCCCCCCGTGGGGATTTTTGCCCTGTAGGAATCAAAACTTTCCACATGTTCCTTGGACAATAATTTTAAATTATTTTAATTGTAAAAAATTAATTTAATAAATACACAATGTTAAAATTTAAATGTCACACAAATTGTATAACTCTAAAATTTTGAATACAATCTTAGACACAATGTGTCAAAATCAAGGTATTTAATTTTTCAAATGTTGAGATTGGGAGTGAAAATCAAATATTTCTATAATTCTACCATATTTTACAAAATTATTAGTGTAACTTCCTAGCTCTTTTGTTATATTCTACCAAATTTCTTAATATAAATTAATTGTATGAAGGTTTAGGCAAAATTAATTAATTTTTCATAGAATTAATATAATTATATCTAATCTTAACATAATTTACTAGGTAAATTGATTAATTATTCAATTGTATGGAGGCTTAGGCTTAGTTAGTCATGTTAATTAATTAATTTAATTAATTTTTCATAAAATTAGTA